AATAAAATCATGACTCTGAGAATAGGAAAATGGGCAGGAAATTTGAATTAGTGCAATCTGAATATCAGGATAGGGATCTTGGCTTTACTCCTTCAGCTGTGTGAATACTGGGTAAGTTATTTAGCTCCTCAGAGCCCCAGTGATATACTCTTAATATGGCTATCATGGTAATAATATCAATCCTGGTCCCTCTCCCAGGATGGAGAGATGCTCAAATGCAATAACGCATATGAAGGCACTTTGAGCATCACTAAGCACTATAGCAATGTTTTTGCTTTTAATACTTACAAAGACAAAATTCTGTGGAACTTGACATATTCAAATATAAAGAGTTTTCTAATCTACTGTCCTAGAAGAAAGACCTCTGCACCCTTTTCATGTTCTGAGCTGAGTGGTCAGACAACATTTAAGCTCAGGTCATCAGGGGGCATTTTATTGATTAGAAGAGGGGAATGCAACCAAGAGCCCTTCAAATGAGTTGGCATGCCACATCAAGAGGAAAAGAAAAAAAATGGAGACTCTGCTCTCCTCAGTACCATCTGCAGTGGGAAAAGGTAAAGTCTAACACATCAGAGCTGCTTCTCAGTCTTCAGTTTCCAGGAAGCCTGTCTCTGACCTAAAAGCCCTCTACTGCACATGCTCAGGGTTATAGTAGCCCTGGTGACATAACCAGCCACCCAGGCATGGCAGAGAGGATCTTTAACAATCCCAGTCAGCTCAGCCTCCCAGGTGGCCTGCAGCTGGGGCTAAAATTAATCCCTCATGCTTCAGTCACCTTTCACCTCCCCTCCCTTGTCCCCACTACTGCATTGTGTCAAGACAGTAATCAGAGGCTTTATAAGGAACATTTGACAGTGCCTGGATGCTGGCTCTGGGCTGATTCTTCTTTTATTTCCCTTTCCTGTTCCTTAGCCTTTCTATTTCAGGTTCAAAGAAAGAAGTTGCTTTTGAGTTCTATCCTTGGAATTAAGTGATATAAGATCCCAATGGCTATAGAACTACTTTCATTTTGGATCCTTCCTGATTCACAAAGAGCCAATGCCGCATGCCCTGGGCCCATCTGGTTTCTAAATATTTCACAGTGAGATGATCTAGTAGAGCTACATAAAATCGTATGAATGTCCATGAGAAGATTTGGGAGTTGACCCATTCATCCTGATACACAGGGACCTGTTGAGCAGGAACGATTCCTTGAGAGCATGCCCTCAAAATGAGATAACTTATGTGAATATGCTGTAGGAGCTCTTCTGTATTTCTTTACTGTTTAGACATTAGCAAGAGATAAGTAGCACACCTGAACTCCTTTTGATTGTTTCTATACTCATCACCATGAATGAAATAGGATAGCTTGGGAAAAGAATAGATCACTTTTGTAGAAATTGTGTCAAGCTTGCCTGACCAGATGTCTTTTGTTCCTAGAAGCCCAGATATAGGCGGTATTTTAATCTCACAGCTTAATATAAATTAAATCTTGCCAGATTGCTCTGACGATGCTTTACATTTAGTTAAGTGGATCCTTTCAGTAGCAGAGGGAGAGAAGTAAGGTATCCAAAGATCAAAAGGTGACCACTCCTACTGAATCTTACAAGAGTGGAATATAAAACTAGAATGTTTCAAATAAACATTTGCCCTTTAAAAAATTAAAAATAAGTTTGGACTTTCTAATGCCATTTTCCAATCTAGGCAATGAAGTATGATGATAATTCCTTCAAATACTCAGTATTCCTTCAATTGCTTTGTGGAAGCATATTGCCACTGCTGTCAGAGGGCAGCTTGGACTTGTTACAAATGAGTCTTTCAGCAGAGCTCAAAAAATCTTTCCTTTTCAAAACGATTTTTGACCACATCTTATAATAACCACCTTTGTGTGGTGATTGGTAATGACCAATGTAATAGGACATTTAAAAAAAAAAAAAAAGAATAAATTTAAGATGATACAAGAAGAGAGATGCTCATTTCTATCCATGTATTTTTCAAAATATCCCCCAATTACTGTGGGAGCAAGAGTGCAAATTTTGCCCAGTTAAGAATGGGAGAATATGGTCTTAATTTTGTTCTACATTTACTATGTGACCTTAGGAAAGACACAGTGTCTCCCTGGGTCTCTTTTTAAATTTGAATGGAGAAAATGAGGGTTCACCCTACACAATTTATGGGCTGCTTAATGGTCACAGTGACATAATCTGGATGAGTGAATACATAACAGTAAAAAAAAATGTTACCCAAATATTTGATCATTCTTTAACATTTTTTGAGTACTGACTTAAGTAACAGAGTATTAGGTTGAACATTTTACATGCATTCAACCCAATGTTCATGTTAGCCCTGGAAATTATTACCATAACCCCATTTTATAGACTAGTAAATGGAGTGTGGGAGGTTAAACCTTGGGAGGTGCCCAAGGTTACTGACAGGAAGCTGGATCCACAAATAGGAAGAATACACAGAGAACCAGGAAATCAGTAAAAAATGAGAATGTAGGGAGAAAGAGTATTTTTAAAGTCTAATGTGATAGTTAGAGAAGAAAAATCATATGTGTTAGAAATTCTTACACACTTATTTTATGGTACAGTGTTGTATTTTGAATTACATGTGGCGAGAGGCACCACATATTTCAGTGTTTATAGGGCATTTCAAAATCTTAATCTAGCCTGCCTTAGACTCACAGCTGACCAACTCCAGCCACTTGACTCCAAAGCCCACACTTATAACTGCTATACTGTATCATGCTCTGTGATAATACTTACTATTACTAAATAACAGTTACCAAGTGTTACTAGTAATAATCATTTTCAGTGGTAAGCAATGCCATTAAAGAAAGGTTTACTCTGTTTTGAAAACATAGGAAGCAACCCATAATTTGGAACTAAAGATACAAAGAGATAGGCACACAAGGATCACTGGTTTTCTTACTTATCTGTGGTTTTTAAATGGCCATTAAAGAGTCTTCAGCAAGCTTGTGGGTTCTATACTGGCTCAAGGCAAGTGGTTAACATCAATTTAGAAATCTTTGAAATTCCTAATAGAAACACAACAAATCCTACAGCACTACTAGCAGGGCCAGTGATAACACATATCAAGAAAGAACGATTTTTCCATTGAGCAAATGAACAGCTTTTAAGATCTCAGGCTATTTTCATTCCCCTGACCACCCATCCCCCAAAGTTTAAGCACAAAACATTTAAAAATCAGTTCTATTAGTGTCTAGCAAATTTGGATGATAAGAATTCATAGTAGCTGCTAATACTTCTGGCTCTCCTCAAAGGCTCAAAAATAAATGCATAAGGTCATTTGTGTGCCTTAATCTAACAAGTGCTAAGTGCATGACAAGAGACTCCCAGCAAAGGCTGAGCTAGCTTTTGTATGGATACTGAGATGGTAGATAAATGGGTAGGTGAGGCTTTTTATTTCAATATTTTGGGAGTCCTGTATGCTGTGTGTAGACGCTCTTATAATTCTTTTTTTTTTTTTTTTAATTTTTAATGGCTATTTATTTCTGAGAGACAGAGACAGAGTGCAAGCAGGGGAGAGGCAGAGAGAGAAGGAGACACAGAATTCGAAGCAGGCTGCAGGCTCCAAGCTGTCAGCATAGAGCCGGACATGGGGCTTGAACTCACAAACTGTAAGATCATGACCTGAGCCAAAGTCAGACGCTCAGCTGACTGAGCCACCCAGGCGCCCCGATGCTGTTATAATTCTTAAGCAAGACATAGGAAGACTCTGGCTATGGGATGGGGAACAGTAGCACAATTACTTCTAATTGGCTTTCAAAGAAAATTAATACTGAATCAGGCATGAAAACAATCACAGCCTTCAAGTCATTCAAAATTCTTGGGCCACAAATAGGGAAATGTACTTTTTGTATATCTCCAAAGTGTGATCATTATTAGCTAAATAGCTCTTAAACTTCTGAAAGTGTGCTTGGAGCTTCCTGATCTCTGTGCTCACTCCACTCTTGAGAGGATAGCAGTGAGAGAGTTACAGGCTAGGGTTTGAAGTGTAGGAGACAGAGTGAAGCACAGCATCATGTCCACACTAGTGAAAAATTCAGTATTCTGAGCTATTCTCTCGCATCCGGGTGATAATACAATTGTGGAACAAAGGCCTTTGCCGAAGTATTTTCCCTTCTACTCCTGGAACTTTTACGATCAGAGTTGAGGGCCCTTTTCCTGGGAGAAGGGAGAGATGAGTGGGAAAGCTTATGGATTATTTGAATGATCTCTTTAAAAGAAAGCAACCTTTCCTCCCATTGCCCTTGATTTGGCCATCTGGTTCTGGGAGTTTGTTGGCAAATGCTCCTTGACCATAAAATTTAAACAGAGGATTAACCCCTCTCCCTCCCACACCAGCATGCTCGCTGTTAAAATGCCCACTAGGACCACTCTCTGAATTATCAAGGCAGGTTTAGTGTAAATGAAAGAAAAAAAAATTGGCAAAGCCAACCGGATGAACAAAACTCTTAGTTTTTCTCTCATTGTTACCCTGACTTGATATTCATCATTCTAAGTTTAGTAAACTTCCTTTTACAGTGTTGCTGAAATCTCTGACCATCTGTATCTTCAACTTCACCTGACTAAATGGCACCTCAGAGTCTAGATCTCAAATAGATTATTCTGTGATTATCCTGTGATTATCAACAATAGCTCATGATAGAGATGGCATGCCTTCCCTCCATTGGTCCTCATTTGCAATGCTCTGGAAAACCTATAGTAATCATCTTTAGTATGAGCCAGTCAGGCAGTATTCCTCAGGTTGACATGAAGTGTTCAGTGCATAGTTAGTAAGTCTCCAGAAGCTCCCTATACTGAACCAAGTCCTAAAGGATTACCTTATCTTCTCATACACACACACACACACACACACACACACACACACACACACGAATGTATGCTTAATATTCGGTGTTTCATGATTTAGTGGCCATTATGAGAAAATCGCCCCTAGAGGTAAGAATGGGAGACCAAAAGCTGGTATCCAGTCACTGAGAGTAAAGCATGTACCTGTGGGATAATGCTCATTCACTGGCCAGTTGTCCACCTGAAGTGTGGCGTTGCCGCCATTCCTGGTGAAGCGTACCACGTGGTATTTGCCATCATTTACAGGGGTTCTCTCCTCTTTGATGGAGATGTCAACTGTGCCAATATTGAAGACAACTCCAATTTTCCCCTGTTCCTGTGATAAAGAAACACAAAAGGCATAGTTATCACCAACCACAAGGTTTTCTCCCTTTAAAGTTGATCCTCCCAACTAACAATAAATCTGTAGGTACCCAGAGGGAGCTGTCAGCATGAAGTTAACAATAGGATCCTACATGTCTCCATGGGCTTTCATCCTGAACATAAAAACCAATGGTATAAAGCCACCCAGATTGCTCTCACAGGCTGCCCTGTTCAGGTTACACCATGTGATTGCTCTCAACAGATATCAAGGCTGGAACCAGAGAACTACCTAACAACTGTGTAGTGGCACCGCAAAGTTGATTTCTGTGAGATGAATTAAATCTATTTTCTAAGACAGGTAATTAGACACTGGACTCTAGATCACCTCACAGTTTAGATTAAGGAATAGAGAGGAAACATAAGCATGCTTGCACATTGTGGGAGGAGATCAAGGCCAAGGGAAAGGTACAATGAATGATTAGGAAGCAATGACAGAAGGATTAGCCCTATAGGTCTGCACCTGATGATACTTTTTGTAGGCCTAAAATACATAAAACATGTACCCTCAGTAGAGGCCAGTGAAACTGAGCTTGATTTTTCAGGGTCAGATGACTGCCTCTCTTTCTACACTTGCAACCCTATTCCGAAGGTTCATCCAAAGAAGAGTATCATCTTCAGTGCTACAGATTTATGCTATATAGCAGAAGAGAACTTCAATGGCCCTAAAAAAAGACTTCTGGAGGGGGAGACATAGTGAATAACACTATTGCAATGAATGTAGTGATTATGGTGAAGGTGGAGGAGGCAAACATAAATAATGCTATTAAAACTCTTAATTCTTTTCCTCTAGTAATTTATTATGACTAAGGGTTGGGATTGGTATTCACAATGAGACACAAAATGGAAGTAACCTTACTGAACAGACATAATCAGTCTATCAACCATGTGGAAGGGTATCATAGCATGTGTGATGTCAGATGGACGGCCAAGAGAGACAGAGACAGCTTTTTCCATTCCTCTAGTTGTCTGACCTATTAGCTAAGCAATAGGCTGGACATCTGAGGACAATAACATTTAGTGGTAACCCTGCCGTTGTATTTGTCCACAAAGTCTCCATTATTCTCTATGTCCTTATGCAAGAAGTAAAAGGAGAATAAAAACGAGGAGGAGAAAGGGACGGAGAGGAGGAGGATTGGGAAAAGGAGAAGAAGGGGACAAAGGATGAGAAGAAGAAAGATATGGGGGGGAAAGTTCTGGAATCCATATAAACTAAGTAAGAAAGATTTCACAGAATCTCAGATTTAGAAATTGGGTTCATTCATTAATTCATTTAATATATAAGTACAATATTTATTAAGCACTTGGTATGCTTAAAGTCAATAAATTAAGACTTCTGAGATTTTAGGCACTGGTTTCCATAGAGTTTTGTACACTTCACTTATTTTTTCAAAAGACAGGCTTTCTTCGTCTTGCCAATTTTCCTTTAGTATGTGAACACGTCCTAAATGTTCCTAAATCAGGAACATGTCTTGTATTCCTGATACAAGAACGGACAAGTACTCAGGAGTCTTTTTTAAAAAAGAAATGTTTATTTATCTTCTGGGGGGAGGGGCAGAGAGAGAGGGAGACACAGAATCTGAAGCAGGTTGCATGCTCCGTGGTGTCAGTACAGCGCCTGATGCAGGGCTCAAACTCATGAACTGTGAGATCATGACCTGAGTTGAGGTTGGCCTCTTAACTGACTGAGCCACCCAGGTTTCCCCCAGGATTCTTGATTTTAGACAGCAGGAACCTAAGCTAAGAAAGGCTGCTTTCAGCATGTGATACAGGGCGGACGTCACGATTTCCTTTGTGCCCTGATAGCACAGCATGCGATGTGAAAAGATGTCTGCAATTCCCATGTTCTGTACTCTGAGAAAAGGAATGCAGGTGCCTCCTCAAACGGGGACTAAATGTACTTATGATTTCATAAATCCCTGTTTACTGTGACACTATGTTCTCCGGGCTTTTTTCCCACTTCTGTGTCTCCAGCACTAAACAAAGTACCTAGCATTACAATGGATAAATGAAACTGATGATAAGGGCTTCTTTTTGCATCTTTCATGCCTATAATTAATAATGTTACGACCTATCTTATCCTTTCTCCTTAATTCTCTAGGAATTCTAAAAAGATAATATGATTTTTCTGTGTTCCCTTACTTAAAAAGCGTTGGCATTCATTTTTAAGGGGGTTTGTGTCTGTTAGAATCTACTTGCCCTTACGCCTAAATAAGCAGGGCTGGAGTAACCTGAGTCATAACCTGTTTAGCAGAATGAGAGAACTGGAGGAGTTAAGACACCCTGACTGCAGACACCATTACTCCTCTGTCCACTCCGCAAATGTAGGCTGTTTATTGCACCACAGTTCTTCATTGAGAAACTACTATATAAATCCTGGATGCACGGAAGGGATTGCTGGTGATTCAATTCACCTCTGAGTCACTAATTAATCATGGATGGAGACAGTTTTAGGCAGAGAGAGACCTTTAAACCAGCATTCTGCCGCTTTTCAGCAACAGCAGTGGCAAAGTACAGTTCTGGCGGAGTGAGTTGGCTGATCAGGGAGATATACTCTTGGGCAGATTTTCTGCAAGATCCATAATAGATTCAGGGGAAGAGAAGATTTAATCTCTGCCAGAATAAATATTTGGTCCTTATCTGAGGCACCACACATTGGCCGCGGCGATCACTGCTTCGGAGAGATCTTCTTAATCCTGCTGGCTCTACTGCCAATGTCAGTGGAGACCCTTCTACCCAGATGTTTCACTGTGTTTCCCCATGGTGGTAAATGTGGCTATGCTAGACCTCAGATGTGGGCTCTTTACATGCAGTAATAAGATTTCATTACTGCAACCTCCTTGTCATTTGTCATGGGCTCACAATGGCATTATAAGCTGTGGCTAAATGCTTTGTCTCAGTTCATTATAAGTTTGTGGCAAGTACCCATATAGTTGCCGATGCTTGAATCCATCACGCTCAGCTGCCATTAAGATAAACTCTGCTGGCTCATGTGTCCAGAGAAGATATGAGGGATAAAAGGCCGTGGCTTTGGAAACAGCCCTGACTGACCTTTGGGCAAATTACTTAATTTTTCTGAACCCATTTCTTATTAATACATTACAGGGACAGGGTACCAACTTTCCAGGCATCCTAGGGCCGACAAGAGGCTAAAATGATATGATTATAATCATTAATATAACACTTTATAAGTAGTAAAATATTATTAAAATATAAGGCATAAATGAGATCGCGAGGAGGAACAAACCAAACATGTGACCATACACAACACCCTGTGAGCACCAGAGAGGTTATTTGGTTCAATAGGATAAAAATGGTTTTAGCATAGCATGGTTCAAATAATACCTCTGTCTGGCTCTGAAAGCTAAATGACCTTGGGCACGTCATTTAACTTCTGATTTCCCTGCTATAAAGGGATCTGTAGAGGAAGGGAACAGCATATTGCTACCTTTGAAGCTTTTTTGAGAGGATTTTAGGAGAACACATATGTGGGAAATGGCTGGCACATGACTGTGCATACTTTGAGACCTCAATAAATGTCAGTCATCTTTTCCCTTTCTTTCTCCTCATTAGTATAGTCGAAAGTGGTGGTACGAGCTAAGGACTGGCTGCTTTGGCAGTAGTGTCATTAAGAAATATTGTAAAAATAAATGTAAATTTTAGCAAACAGAACATTAAAACACAACATTTGCACCAATGCTTTCCTGTCACAACTTGGTAGTTGCTCTCTCTCCACATTCCTTGCCTTTTCTAAGCCCTTCCAAGACAAGCAAAGTGTAGCTGCAAAAACAGCATGACTATAAATTTTAATAACTCCACACCCATCACCACTAAAGTTGCTACCAAAGGCAATCACTTCAATCTATGTTCTTCCTAGATATTAAAAACACAGACAAGTGGTAAATCAGAAGACATTACCAAAGAATCCTCAAGTGCGATAAAAAAAAGTCTATTAAAGAAAAAACCCCACAAAACCAAAACTGAACAGCACAAGAAAACAGCTGTCTGTAAATAGCCAGGAAGTCATTCTTCATCAATAATAACTGTTTACGAGCCCACCTGGTTCCTCAAATTAGTCCGGCTCCGGCTTTCTGATCTTCCATCAACCACATTACAGTTATTGCTGTGAAGGTGACCCATGAGATACTACGAACACCAGGGTCAGATTTTAGGAGCAGATATACACAGGGGCAGAACAAATCCTCAGGAATAAAGACCTCCCTGAAGGCAATCTCTTCATTCATTCCAGAGTGCCCCCAGGGAAGGCAGAATGCACCATCCACTATTTTAGAAAATTGCAGCTGACAGAAACAGAACTGGGACTCTCAAATGTATGCCCAACAGATGTGCAAAGGAAGCAGTTCTCAATATCTTGACTTCTAGGCTTTCTACAGAATCTGTGAGTTCAGTGCTAGGCAGTAATACAAGAAGAAGAACAGGTATGTGATCCTTCTTGGGGCCAAACACGGCCAGGTCAGGTCTGGCACACCCATTCCAAAGTCAGGGTCACAGTAAATAAAGCAAACAGTGGCAGGCTTTACTACATTTTCCAGGTCCCTTCAGTATGGGCTCATAGTAAGAGAGAATTTCTAGTTCTCCTTGTGACATGTAGGGCCAAGAGACCAGTGTTAACCAATAAATGAGGTGTCACTTCCGAGCCGTCTATTAAACTGCTGGTGTGACGTCCACCAGAGTTCTCCCATGGCTCTCAACCACTGTATCCAGCAAATTCCTGGCAGTGGTCTCTTTGTCAGCCTGGGTCATTGAGTGAGGAAGGCAACAAGCAATTTGCAGTGGACATGGAAAATGAGAAACAAAGCTTGACTGCTTTATGCCACCAAATATTGAATCTGCTTGGTACTGCAGGATCATCCAGACTACTTCAAAGAACAGAGTAGTGCTTGGCAAGAAGTTTTTAATAGAACAAGTTTTGAATTCTCACAATTACCCTCCAGA